ATTTTTAACAAATGAAAAATTGGTTCCAAGTACAGTTCCTACTTTTTTGCCTATTTTTCTACGATTTTTACGCAACCTATGCTATTTCTGAAAACTTACGTATTAATAGTACTACGTAGTAATTGTTATGAAAGGACCTGTTCCGAGTAAAATTCAGAATGGCGTAGAGCCAATCAAATCGTCGCACTTTGAATTCTACCTCATTCGCAAAAACGAGTTTGCGAATTACCTCCCTAAATTTGCGAATTTCCTCATTCGAGGGATAATTAATTAGTTAATCGAGCCAAAATTAGGACACAACCAATGAATGAATGGTCTATCGCCATCGTTTGGAAGCTCCATTGAGGCGTCTCGTCGATCACGGATGACCGCAGCATCTCCTGTCCATCACAAATTACTGTGCCATCTCTAGCAATATCTATGTGATCGGGAACGATATCTCCGCTCATGACGTGCGGGATCTTCACCTCACTGCGGCCGGCAAATCCTGTGACATGGTTAGTTAGTTAGTACCTCTATAAGAGCATCCCCACTCCTAAAACTTCAGAACTGTATATTTTCTGTCAAATTTTAGCGTTTTCATTCTTCCACCGCCGAACTCTAAATTCTGGTGCCGACGCTCAACGACACGTCAATAATGGCAGAATTTTCGTTAGATTTGACTGGTTGGTTTGAGGACTGACATAACTGGTGCTTGTGCGTCGTATGTCGATGAGACCTTGGTCCAAAACGTGTATCCCAACTGATCTGTGCCAACGGCAGCACGCGTACAGTAGTTTCCTTGTAGTACGCTATGGAAAGTGCGATGTCTTCATCAAACTTGAAATTTGGCTATCCCAGTTGTCGGTCCGCCTTTTGGGGTGTCGGCAGCAGAGATTTTGACGTTAGAGAGGTTTTGCAAGTGTCCGTTCGCGGTCGCGTTCCACTTTGCCACCAAAACCAGAAGTCGACCTGTCAAACCTCATATGGAACGCGAACGCGTACTCTTAAATCTGATTGCCAATCCGCTAAATTCTCTACTAGTATAGAGTATCATAAATTGATCATCCAAACAAGTGTACAGTACTTTATTAATAGTACTGTAATACTAACGTTAGTAACTGTAAGTTAAGTACATACTGACTGTACCATGGATATTTGGATTAATGTTTAAAACTAAAAGAAGTTGTAAATTTACCCATGGTTCTCGCGGAATTAACACTTTCGGCAGCCCTTCATTTCAGCTACGAGGACAAGTTTCAGAGACGAATTTGGACCCTTCGAAGGTTCTGGTGAGGCACCTCCCTTAGGTATATATATCAACACTTGATCATTTACGTTAATGTTAATCACATCTAGCACACCGACTGGGCCTTGGTAAGCAAGGTCACCACGCGTCCGTTCAGGGCTTGGATTTCACGAGGATCGGGGTGATGAATGACATTGGACCACTGCTTCAATTGCGCCTTAGACAGGGTCTGCACCTTTTGTAACACATTCCACTCGACACCTTCCGTGAACGGCTCCGTGGTGAGCGAGCCATGGTACTGAAATATATTGCTGTCGCTCACATGGAGACTCGACGGGTCGAGCGCCGTCAGCGTAAAGTTGTCGCCAGGCTTGGTCAAGTGGTGAAAGTGGCTAAAAAATTGAGTCAAGAACGGGTTCGGTTTGTCGTGGGGGTCCAAGTCAAAGAAGATTCCAACCACAGCCAGGTTGTTGTCCTTGTCGCTGTGCAAAACATGCACTTCGAACGGGTATTGCTTGCCCCCGATAGTGTGTTCGCTGGGAGCGTGGCCGTGCAGTTGCAGCGACTGGTACATGTTGCCATTGAGAGTCAAATACGAGTGGGGGCACCCGGACCACGTGGCTCTGACGGTGGTGCCCTCATGCGACACCACAACCGAAGCCGTTCTGAACGCGATGGAGAAGTTGCCGGTGTTGGCCACCAGCTTCGCGAAGGCAGGCAAGTCGATGGGGGACTGACCCTTGAGTGTTTGGCCTGTCACGATGGCGACAGTGGCAGCGATGACGTACAC